ATCTTCTGCATGGAAATCATTACAGTAGATTCCTTCTGTAGAGTTAAGTAAAGTAGAATTACTGGGCGTCCCCAGTCGTACTAAGCAGTCTGTTGGCGATATTCTGTTACCAGACACAAACACAAGTGCTCGTAAGAACGGCTGTTGTCTGGGATTAAGAGGGTGGGTGTCGTGACGAGCACGGAGTCATGTGTAGAAGGGTTGAGTCCCTCTGTTGTACACCTGAAACTAATAGAACATAGATTTAATTATACAAGAATTGGAAAAATCAAAGATCAAATTAAAAGAACAGCTGATATCACTAAGCCATTCCTCAAACATCCTTTCCGTTGATTTGATCAACGGATTGTTCACTAGGAGCTTCCAGTTTGCCTGGGAACACTGCAGTCACGGACTTGAGGGGAGGATGAACTTGGCACGCAGTGTGGAACGTGGCTAGACTTGGCCGCGGCTCTGATCTTGTCCTGTAGTTTTATTATGCATGCAAATGATGCAGATTAGTTTATGATTTTTTTTAAGGTTTTGAAAGGACTCACATTTGCAATTTTTTCTTTCCTTTCCTATAGTTGTGTTTCATACTTACATTGTGCGCTGCTCTTTGGGTAAGTATGTCAGCTGCGCCTGCTTTCTGCTAACTGGCCCCTCACCGTCATGCTCACCCTGCTGTCCCAAAGGAGCTCAAAGTCTGCTTCTTGAAGCCCACAGAGGTTGGGTGTCCCTAACATTGTGTATCGTGACATGAGCTTAGTGGCTCCACTCGCGATGAACCCCGCCATCCGACACAGGCGGGCTCCTGTTTGCCTCTGGAGCACACTGACCTGACCCTGACGGCTCCTGGGCTCCCAGGGGCTCCTGCTGGGGTCTGTCTGCTCTCGTCTGCGGTGCTCGCGAGCCGGGCCATCCTATCCCCTGCGGCAGAGAGGAGGCTGCTGATGAGGGAGTGCGTTTCGAGTCGCAAGATGTCAAAACTAATAAGAAGAAAGGGCAAGAAAACAAACCAAAACAAATTAGCAGAAGGGGGCGCCCGGCCGGCCTGGTCGGAAGAGCGTGCGACTTGATCTTGGGGTTGCGACTTTGAGCCCCACGTTGGGTGCAGAGGTTACTTTAATTAATTAATTTTTAAGAAGATGTAAAATCGCTTAAAAAGGGTGGGCGGGCAAAAGAACTTCAATATACCTGTTACTGTTAAGGTGAACAGCTCTTCATTAGCCTGAAGTTCAGCACACTTTCCAGTGCTCCTGAGTCTTTATTCCCTTTATTTATTTGCCCCCCCCCCC